TATGTTTACTAGTCGGATGGGGAAGTATGGGGAGGAAACTATATGAAGAGTTTTACTAGATAGTACCCTGTTAGTCGGGATGTATTAGTACCCTGCTATATGTTTACTAGTCGGATGGGGAAGTATGGGGAAAACGAAGAGGATAGTACCCTGCTATATGTTTACTAGTCGGATGGGAAGTATGGGGAAACGAAGAGATAGTACCCTGCTATATGTTTACTAGTCTGGATGGGGAAGTATGGGAAAATGGGGAAAACGAAGAGGATAGTACCCTGCTATATGTTTACTAGTCGGATGGGAAGTATGGGGAAACGAACGAAGAGGATAGTACCCTGCTATATGTTTACTAGTCGGATGGGGATGGGAGATGGGGAAAACGAAGAGGATAGTACCCTGCTATATGTTTACTAGTCGGATGGGGAAGTATGGGAAAAACGAAGAGGATAGTACCCTGCTATATGTTTACTAGTCGGATTGGGAAGTATGGGGAAAACGAAGAGGATAGTACCCTGCTATATGTTTACTAGTCGGATGGGGTAGTATGGGGAAAACGAAGAGGATAGTACCCTGCTATATGTTTACTAGTCGGATGGGTTAGTACAGAGGACTGTCGGTCGCCAGGACTATTGAACCATCTATTTGAAGGAACAGACAATACTACAAAGTGGACTGTTACGAGCACTTAGGATTGTATAACTCAACAGGCTACCTACAAAACGACATGCGGCAGCGGCATCTTCAAATACACTTAGAGCTCTCTGCAAAGAGAAATATGTTTAGGTGGACTGCTTTTGAAATAAAGCCGTCATTAAACCTTGCTCTGGCCCGCTGATGGATCTTCTCGTCTTACTGCAGCTCATCATTGAGCCATATGAATCTATCTTGGGAAAAATATACGCCAACTTTGGCTATCAACAGTTATTCAGGATGTCCCCACTTGGTTCGTCAATGGTTAAGCGTTATGATACAGTGGAGTGGATATAAAACGAGGGGTCTTTAAAACATGTTTGACTGTTCCGAAGAATGAAAGAACCACAATGAACAGCGTGTGTTCTCTGTTATCCATAATATTCACTTGAGCTATCTAATATTTTGTTCAAAATATCTGGAAACCCCTCTGCTTGTCAGTAATCTGTTTCGGAAATTGTGTTAAACTATTTTGTTCTTAATGGGAGAGACATGTTCAATCTGATAGTGAAAGAACAGAAATAGGTGAACTCTGCCCAGATATAATTTTCAAGGCGACGTACTCTTCTGAAATAAGTGTTTATTATATACTTAAGTGTGAAAGACTGCGATTGCTGAGCCAAAGTGGAAAATATCATTTTGCTGGAAGTACTTCATGGCTCAACAAAGAATTCTGTCGAGTATCTTGTCACACAACACAATAAATGCAGTGTAAACATATGCATATCATTAAATGCATTTCGTCAGCAACAATGGGCATTGGATGACCTACGTCCAGTGAAGTTTAGCTGATCGCCGAGTCATTCAGCGCACCAGCACCGCGCGAGTGAGACTGTGAATGGCCGTCTCTCACTGTATTGTGTCGAGTCCACGCCACTGATGAAAACATCACTTTTTCCACGCCACTCAATGGCAGATACATCAAATTTCACTAGACACATGGAATATCCTCTACATATTACCCGGCAGTTATGTTTCACCACTGGGGCTTTGCAAAATTCCTCCATGAGAAATGTGAGTGAGGAGGCGGTCTGTAAATAATCGAGTCTGGACCAAACAATCCAGTGACCGTCGATCTGCGCAATTGGGAACCGATGACATGTGTCAACCAAGTCAGCGAGCCTGACCACCCGATCTCTCTTACGACAAGCATGGGTTACTGAAGATCAATATTCTAACCCTGACCTTCACGGGTACGGAAATGGCTTTAAAGGGTACGGCTCTTGAACTGTTAACCGGACGGGTATTTATTTTGTGACGCTGAAGTATGTAGTACAATTAACATCGTTTATCAGATGTTTTGAAGTTATCGGTATTTTAGATATCCTAAATCTCACCTTTGACACTTGCCCCTCTGTTGGATCTTTTCTACAGTTTCTCCTTGTATATATACCCGTGAAGGTCAGGGTTAGAATATTGATCTTCAGTAACCCATGCTTGTCGTAAGAGGCGACTAACGGGGTGGTCAGGCTCGCTGACTTGGTTGACACATGTCATGGGTTCCCAATTTCGCAGATCGATGCTCATGCTGTTGATCACTGGATTGTCTGGTCCAGACTCGATTATTTACAGACCACCGCCATATAGCTGGAATATTGCTGAGTGCGGCGTAAAACTAAACTCACTCACTCACACCTTGTATATAATCATATGTATCATATGTTGGCGTTGTCTACTCCATCTGACTGAAGAACACTTGAATCTAATGGTCGTGCTTCTCATTTCAGTAAACATCATGTTTGCCACACTATTTTTAAAAAAAATGTGTCTCAGATCTGCTTTGCCAGATGTGATGGTTTTGTGTGCATTACGCGTTGCTTGTCTGCTTCTGGTATATGACCTAAATTGTCTAAACTAAATAGGTTCCAAAATATTGTTTGCGCATGCATTGTCAGGTAGCTTGTGTGCACTATTGTTTTATATGCTTAGTTATCGCTGTACACACACGAGATGTTAATGGACAATTGATTAATTGAACATTGCTAAACATGAAGCGGAACGACCGTGTATACCTCCATGAATATAGGAACTGGATTATTTACAGACTTGATTTAACTAGAATACTGCTGACTGTAACGTAAAACAACACACATAAAGAATAACCTTCTGCAATAATTGGTGTTCGGTATGACAAGGTCCTGTTTACTGGAATGGACTAACGGATGAACCGGGAAGATTAGAGCTGCTTTTTATCATTTACGAGGTTAGGAATATATGACAGAGGATATAATCACTCTGATATGAAATGTGTTAAGTAGAACAGTATGCTGACTGGAAATAGACCATCATTTTTAGATATCGTCCTTCAGTCTCTGTCTGCCGAAATACAAACCTGCAGGCTCTTGTAATACAAGGGACGTATCAGCATTTCGGAACACTTCCCCATGGTGGCGGCAGACTATACTAGCCACTTGAAGCGACCAGAATCGGATGAAGCGACTGTTCAGCTGGAACTTGGTGTGAAGTGGGACTCTACCGCTCATGTGGCATTTCCGTTTCTACTGTTGTCGCGTGGCTGAAAACAGCGAGTGGAATACGTGGCTGAAAGGGATGTTTGGACGGAGGTGGGGTGGTCGTGGCTGGAGAGGTTGTGTGGGGATGGTGTAAGGATGGAATGAGTATAGTTTTACGCCGCCTTTTAGCAATGTTCCAGCAATATCACGACAGGATATCACTCATTTCTTACAAATACATATGTCAACAATAATAACTATGAAATGCCATTCTTCAGCGTGATCATGCAACACGAGCCCAGTCCATATTATTTTCAGCCAGTCATTAATCATGAGTGAGTGAGTTAAGATTTTAAGTCACATGGGCAGTATTTCAGTCATCAATAAGCAGCCCACCAGTGAGTGAGTTTGGTTTTTACGTCGCCTTTTAGCAATATTCCAGCAATATCCCGCCGGGGGACACCAGAAATGGGCTTCACGCATTGTACCCATGTGGGGAATCGAACCCGGGTCTTTGGCATGACGAGCGAACGCTTCAACCACTAGGCTACCCCACCGCCCGTGTATGGAGGAATGATGGTTAAGGACGATAGACGGGAAGGGAATGAATGTACATTGGATGTAGAGAAAGAAAGAGAATTAAAGAGGGAAAGTGACACGATTCAATAGAGCAGTTAAGCATGCTGTTTCGCGTATGTTTTGTTTGTTGGTTTATCACTCAGTTATGGCGGCTATGTGGCGTCGGTCTGTAAATAATCGAGTCTGGATCAGACAATCCATTGATCAACAGCTTGAGCATCGATCTACGATGACATGTGTCAACCAAGTCAGCGAGTCTGACCACCCGATCCCGTTAGTCTTACGACAAGCATGGGTTGCTGGAGATCAATTCTAACCCAGATCTTCCCGGGTATGTTTCGCGTACTAAAAGTTGCCAAGTTAAGACAAAATACGTCAGAGGTTATTGTTGCATGTGAGGCAAAAAAGGAGGTCATTTGTTTCACTCTGGCACCGTGAAGAAATCGCATTTTGAATTTACCATCAATGACCGCAGAAATATAATCTAAGAGGCAACTTGCATGTTTTAATCTGAAAATAATGCTTCAGTGTGCTTCTTTCAATATTTATGAATTAAACTTCCTGCAAATACGTTGTACGCTATTACCCCACATGCCACGTGAATAGGATCCAATATGTTTGGGTTGGTCACAGTGTTATCTCAAAATTTATCATTAATCGTTTAACCTAGAAATGTTTCATTTGCCCAGTATACAAATATGCCTCAGCAGAATATTCTTAGTGACACCCTCGCGTATGTTGTTCGCGAAAAATGTTGCAAAAACTGTAATGACATGCACTTCAATTATTATAACACGGATGTTCCTTAGGCAAGATCATACCCAAGGGATCGTGTTGATGTTATAGATGTAGAGTACTATATTTCCCCTGGGATGTCAATTGTCAGTTTGTTTCTGGCGAAACATTTGAAGCTGTGCTAGAACTTTTTGAAGAAACAGGATACATTTTGTGGTCAATGCTTGAAAACATACATGCATCAAGAATATCCATATAACAATTTCTTCCTTGAAGCATAACACTAAAAAATTCTTGCTGTGTGTGTGACTAAAAAAATTGTGTTGTCAATATTATTGGAACAAAAAAATCATTTTAAAGATGCAATCCTAACGACTGACTCCAAGGCCCGGCCCCTTGTATTGCACGAGTAGTAGCTGCCACTTGTCACCAGATTGTATTAAATGTCTACAGCACCACTGGTACAGTAACTGACTGAAGGACAGCCCCGGACGTGTGTAGTGGTATATAAACGGGATGTGAAGGAGGAAGCGAACTGTCCTTCACCAAGAGGCAGAGGACTAGGAAGCTGTGAGCTGTAGATTCTCGGGGACGGTATCCCACACTAAGGTTAGATTCACTGACGTGTCTGATTATCTCGTGTTCATATCATCCTGTTAAATGCAATTGCCCATAGGCGGATCCAGAGGGGTTTGCAGATGTGCAGCAGACCCCCTTTTTATTTGTCCTGATAGTTTGTTCAATGACCATTGAAACTCGGGTGAAAATGAAGTGTGCACCCCCCTTCTCAATAGTGTGCACCCCCTTTCTCAAAAAGCTGCACCCGCCCCTGTTTCTCATACATGTTATGAGCTTTCTTTGATAACTGTGTGTGTTTATGCGTGAGCTTTCTTTGATAATTGAGCGTGTTTTATACATGAACTTTCTTTGATATTTTTAACTAAGTGTGTTTGTACGTGAGCTTTGTTTGATAACTATGGGTATGTAATACATAAGCTTTCTTTGATATTTCCAACAAATTTAAGTGTGTTTATGCGTGAGCTTTCTTTGATAATTGAGCGTGTTTTATACATGAACTTTCTTTGATATTTTTAACTAAGTGTGTTTGTGCGTGAGCTTTGTTTGATAACTATGGGTATGTAATACATAAGCTTTCTTTGATATTTCCAACAAATTTAAGTGTGTTTATGCGTGAGCTTTCTTTTTATGACATAACTTTCTTTTATAACGTGTGTTTATGCGTGAGCTTTGTTTTATGACTAATTATAACGGTGTTTTATTACATGAGTTTTCTCTGATATTTTCAAGTAAGAGTGTTTATGCGTGAGCTCTCTTTGATAACTACGGGCGTTTATGCACGTGCTTTCTTTGATAACTAAAGTTATCCTTTGTCGGTTAGTTTTCCCTACAAAACATGTTACTGTTAGTGTTATAATACGTGCATGTTTGTATTCACCACTTTGGCATCTGACCAAGGTGTTCCACATCAATGATTCACTTTTCTATGGTACTTCAGTTAAATTGCTTCTGGAATGAACTATTTCTACCCTACTGTTTTTTGCCACGTACATTCTGGAAGCGTCCAGGCGTGTGTTCAGTTTTCTGTTGTCTTAAATCTTCCACTTTTCATTGTGTTTAATAGACGTTGTCCAACTTTGAAGTTTCATTGAAACATCCAATCAGAAAGACATAGACATGGTAACATGCTTTTGAACTGTTCAGCAAATTGTCAACATACCAAACGCCATTGCCATGGCGCTTATTGACATGTGCTATTTTTCACAATTTACACTTACATAGCGAAATACATATCCGTATACATGCTCAACAAAATTAGATAGCTGATATCCTCATTATTGGAAACATTCGTGAGGAGGTAGCTCTTTTCACTTTCTTGCTGTGTGTATGACGAAGGTTGACATCTGTATCTTCATACGGCACTGACCTTGTGGTTGGAACATGGTCTTGGCGACCGACATTTTCTTTATGATACGTGAAAAAGCTTGAAGCACAAACATTCACCTTAGCGACCACACGTCCATTGAGATCCACACTTAAACATTGCGAAAGAGGTAAACATATAAAACAATTATATCATCAACAATCGAACACGCCGCGACTCCCAAATTAGCAAGGTGAGCGTTTCATGGGTAGGCGTAAAGCTGGACAATCCGTTGCAGCCCTTGGCTGTCGTCGTCAACCTGTACAATCTGAAAACCCGCGTGCAACAAACGGGCACCGATGCAGATTGTCCAAAGCCCGGGCGCCACAACAAGTTGACAAACAAATCAGGGTAAATCATCTGTGCAAGAGATGTGTGACTGCAGCCTATACTGGCAGACAGTTGTTCAGAGGTAGAATTTCAGCACAGACCATCAGCAATCCACAGGCATCCGAGCCAGACGATCATACACAGGATTTATCCTGGCGCAGTGGCATCGTGCTCAATATTTTCAGACGAGCCAGATTGAAGCAGAGACAGACGGAATGACATTAACATGATTGTGTTCAGTGACGGCACGCATACTGCAACTCTGGCGCGCAACTTCTTAGGTAACGCTATCATAGACTGGCCTTCGCGATCCCCAGCCTTCTCGATCCCCAGATGATCTAGGAAGGCCAGTAAATGAATCAAGCAGACACCTTGCAGGAACTGGTCAAGCAGTCTTTGACCAATAATGACGGCTTCCGGTTTAAAAGTTCCGACAGGTTCTCCTGTCCATGAGGAGATGTTGTGTTGCCGTCACTGCCGCCCCGGGTCACACTCGTTACTGACAGTTTTACTGTTCCAACAGTGTGCAGTTCGCGTTGGGTGTTCATCATGCAATGATGCCGCAATACGCATTTCATCTTCTGTACCTGGATGTTCATCTTGTCACCTAGATGTTCGCATTATGATACACATCCATTTATAGTAATGCAGACACTACTTCTATTGTGTGATTCAATTAAACAAGTGTCAAGGTTTATATTTGGTTGATTATATATGTGATATATCTGTCTGCCTGTCGGACTGTGTGCGCGCGAGCGTGTGTGCGTGCGTGCGTAAGTCAGGATTTATGTTCTAAAGGGTTCCCCCACTGAAATATCATGACGCAGTTCAACGTGAGTCCTTTTTCATCCCCCAACATTATAGCCAACGCCTCGTCTGTCTGTCCGTCCGTCTGTCTGCCTGTCCGTCCGTTCGTCCGTCGTTAATCATTTCGTTTCAGGAGCTAAACACCGTTCAATATTTTTCAACAATAACTGGAGATAGATCAAACAAACCCTAATGTGGTGTCATTTGCTATTTACAGATTTGGGGCATGTTCATTTTTGTCGAGTTCCATGGAAGCGATTTAAACTTTGTCTCAAAAGCGAGGGGTGGACTTCGTTTCAGGAGCACACCTCGAAAAATGTAAACTATCTTACAAGAAAACTTTGCAGATATATCAAACAGATCCAGAAGTGGTGCTTTTTGCTATTTGCTATTTTTTTAATGAGTATTTCTTCCTTTGACGTTGATATTTGTGTGTACCTGACATAGAAATACAAAATGAGTGAGTATGGTTTTACGCCGCTTTTAGCAATATTCCAGCAATATCACGGCGGGGGACACCAGAAACAGGCTTCACTCATTGTACCCATGTGGGGAATCGAACCCGGGCCTTCGGCGTGACGAGCGAACGCTTTAACCACTCGGCTACCACACCGCCCCTATATACAAAATGACGAATCCCAGTTCCATTTTATTGTTTTGATAGCTCAATAACCACACTCGTACAATGCCATCCGATAATTCCGCGCACCTGGGCACATCGATCGCAACGGCAACAATAGTCTGTTTGCAGTGAAAACGTACCGATGAATTTCACTTTAAACAAAAAAGTAAATCAAATAAGGTGAAATTAAGATTGCGAATCCTCATGATTTTACCTTGCCAATCAAACATTTAAATTTCAGAATTTTATTCAACTTAAGATAAAAGTTGTTTAACAGACGATCATAGATTCAAATCGCTATTAATGGTTTGTATAACAAGGGAGTAAACGCGGTAATTGGAACAGTGAAACAAATGCACGTGCAGTACGTGATGAGCGTTAACTTAGACCAACCTACTTGTTCTCAGTGTTTCATTTAATGTGCATACCCCTTGTGATACAAACCAATAATAGCGATTTGAAACTATGATCGTTTGTTAAACAACTTTTATCCTAAGTTGAATACAATTCTGAGATTTAAATGTTCAAATGGCATGGCAAAATCATGAGGATTTACACTTCTAATTTCACTTAATTTGATTTATGTTTTTGTTTAAAGTGAAATTCATAACTATAACGTCTCTTATGTTTTGTGGTTTACGCCACTAAACATGCTGGTATGCATCACATTCACCTAGAAATATAAGTTTTATTGACGACTATAAGATTCTAACGTTGCATTATGCCATACGGTTGACTTTACAGGCGTTCTGACGACATCGCTTGCTGTCCGGTAATTCTGCGCAGCAACTGATGCGCATAACATCTAGCTGGAGATCCGAAGTATGGAAGCGTATTAGGGCCAGATTATTTTCAAAAATCACTTCATCAATGTAAGGAAAAGTGTTTCATATTAAATCCAATTATGAATAATGAAGAAAAAGGTTTAACAATCTGAAGAAAACGAATTTTCATAAAAATGTCAAATTATCTGTCAATTACTGTTATTTATTACCTTTAGTGATTAAAAGCCAGTCCCTTGTAGAAATGTCCCGATTTCAAGCGTAAATGTAGAAGCAGACGATATTTACCTTCGATACGGAAGTACGCTATTGCAGCTGCGCATAATTACCGGACGCGCGGAATTAACAGACTCGCTTGTATATGGACGGATAGATTACAGGGTCGTAGTTAACTTATATTAATAAGGGGGTACCATCCACCTTAAAACAGTGTTATATCAATAGTTTGATGCACAAAAAATCTGTAAAAAGATTCTAGGGGGGCAGCTGCCCCCTGCCCCTCTGGGCTCCCTACGGCCCTGGTTTAGACAGAAATTCTCTCATCACGTTGGAATTTTTGGGGCCGGTGGGATCAGTCATCTTCTGATGACTCTTGTATCACCTTGATGTCTTTAATGGTAGCAAAGAGTGAAATCTGTACACGTGTTTGGTGTTTTACACGGCCTTGCTGGCGAACCACCTATTTCCGGTATCCGGGCAGACGCTCTTTCCACTACACCACGAAGGAAGTCGAGCTAAATCGATCTCGAAACGAAGTTAGTAGTATATAGTTTAGAGGAACCCGGGTCTATTTTCCGTGTGTAGAACTGTGTCCTCTCAGGCGTGTCACTCATACTTATGCCAGATTCGTTCTGATTATATATCTTGGTCTGTCAGCGATAAGAGAATCAGCAGTGAGAGCTTGTGTCACGTTTATCTTTGCTTATTTGAAGATGCAGCACAATACCTGAATGATTTAATCACATAATACAAACCAGACAGCTCATTGAGGTAGGAAAGCGGCCTTCTGTTGAAAGTTCCATTAGTGAACTATGTTCAATAAATATAAATGTAACCTTTCTTGAATTTACCTGAAATACTTGACTGACAGTGGAATGAGTTTCACATTAAGAACCTGTATGAATTG